TCATATGGTATTCCTTTGAGAGTAAACCTGTTTTACATAGTTCTTGATTTCAGTTTTATTGAACTTAATCTTAAGGATCTGTTCGCAGTTCTGTCCATCTAGGTCAAGAATTGCAGAGTGAAGTAGTTCTCTGCAAGTCTACTGTAATCACAGCTCTCCTTATGTAGTGACATAAGCAAAAAAGGAGGGGGAAAAAATCCCACCACAAAAAATATCCCTGGTGGCACTGATTATCTGTTGTTTGCAATGTCTGTGTCATTCTTTATGTAGGATTAACAATACTGAACATGGGAAAGATCTGGTTGTGATAATTTCCTGCTTCGTCAACTCCGGAGAATGGAGAAACCAAAGAATGTCGATAGAAGTTAAACTGATCTGAGTGGAATTGCTGTTTAAATGTTAAGGATTATTGGGCTGCAGCTGTCTAGAGTTAACTGCTTAGCGTTAGTTTATACATTTGCTGAAGGCTTAGGCTGCAAGCTGTGGATTTTCACCCAGACATGTTAAACTTTGACATTGTTCCATGAAAGAGGGGCCCAAGAGCCAGTTCAGGCTGCATGATAAGGAAGCTACAACTGCCATCAGAAACCACAACCTTGGAGATAACATGAAAAACGTATGGCCCAGGGACAATGAAGAGCAAGACTCCAGAGCCTAATATTATTATTGCTCTGAACTGATATGTGAGGGGTGAGGAATGCCAACTGTGAGGGTGTAATTGCCCAGGAATTCCTTTGGGGTTGTTCTCTGGAGGTACCCAGCCTGAGTTGTTTCTACTGTGGTACCACTCAAATTACCTCATTGGACTTAAAGCCTGAGGCTCTGCTTCAGTATATGTAGGGCAGACAAGCTTCTTGAACATAAAAAATATTTCCAGTAAGCAGAATGATTCTTTCCACTAGAGAATACTGGTTTGGTACACCCACAGTAGAGAAAGGCATCTTTTCTTTCCCAAATGCAGGAATTATCTATGACAGTGGAAAAGGGAGTTTAGTCTAATTTTTCAGGTATTCTTTGTAGCAAATACTGTGAATTTGCAAAGGATTTGACAGGAGTAAACCACACGTTCTCAGATTTGTTGATAGTATCTGTGTTACAGAGCATGTGGCAGAGAATTTTCCACCACATCCCTTTGGCAGATGAACAATGAAGTCTAAATTACGGCTTAATCTCTGTGGGTATAAACTATAGTGCTGAAGCTTTTACTCAAGGGCTGTAGTTTCAGATCCTGCTGTGAATTGCAGGGAGAGGAAGACTACTTTCCTTGCACAGAAATAACGTTTAAAACTTAACTGCTGCTCGGGTGGGAAGCACTGTGTCTCTTTTGTTTTTGTCTGACTAAGCAGTAAGATGTAAATAAGATAATCCTAGTGCTTAAGAGCATCTGCTCTTCCTCTAATTGCCTTGCTTGGAGAGTGAATACCAGTTTAGAAGAGTTCATAATTTCTAGTGATCTATTTTGCAGGAGTTTGACAAGAAATACAATCCCACCTGGCACTGCATCGTGGGGAGGAACTTTGGGAGCTACGTGACTCACGAGACCAAGCACTTCATCTACTTCTACCTCGGCCAAGTGGCTATTCTTCTGTTCAAGTCTGGTTAGACCCACGGACTGTTACTGAACCTCGCATCTGGTTACAGGACTGTGCTGATTCCTCTGACTAGTTACTGCAGCCTTCCTGAGGACGCAGACCTTGATCTTCAAGGGCAAAGGCAGGGATTATGCTATAGCAGATGATATTACATTGTGGATATAAAAAAGGAAAAATACCAAAAAAAGTCTTCCTTTTTTTTTTTTTTTTAATTATTTTTTTCCCCAAAGGCTGCTTCTTTGCTAATAGAGCTGTTGGAGCAGTTTTGCCTTGGAGAGTTTTCTAGCAGTCTGCAGTATTGCCCAGTTACCACTTGTGCTATGTAAGTACAGACAGCGTTTAGTTCTTCCTGTCACAATCCTCTTCTTCCGAGGTGGTTTTTGGTGGTTTCCCCTCCTGTGTGGCTGGATGTGCTGCCCCAAGGCCTGGGCTGTTTCTGCTGGTGCCTCAGAGAAGTGCTTTGGAAAATAAAAGACTAGATCCACCTGGCCCCCACGATGTTGTTTCTGGCTGCTTTGGGCAGGGTGGGTGGCTTGCTCTGGGCGTTGCTGCCGGTCCCTCGGCCCCGTGCGCCGCTGGCAAGAGGAGCACTGCAGGAGGCGGGGGGGCAGACCCTCGGGGCCGGGGGCTCGCAGGGGGCGGTTGCGAGAGGGCGCTCTGCGTCCCGGGGCCTCCATTTCCCGTCGTGCTCCGCGGCCGCCAAAGACTACGCGTCCCGTGGTGCCCGCGGGCACGGCTCCATCCGGGTCCCAGCCACTGCTGAGTGGGGCTTGTGGCTGTTACGGCGGTCTCCGCCATGGATGGGAATCTCCGGTGCGCCGGGTGGCGAAGGGCAGGAGGCGCGATCCCCCCCGACCGGGCCCACTGCGGGGCAAGGCGAGTCCGAAGGCGGTATGAGCTGGCCTCTGCTGTGGGCCGGCCCGGCGGGGCGGGGCTGGGGTTACTCTGAGGGGACCGCGGCACACTCGGGTCTGTGAAACCGTCGCTCCGGGCCTCTTGGTGCGAGCTGGCGGCCTCCATTCGCTTTCCTCGTCAGGGATAGGCCGTCGGGGCTGGGCGCTGGAGCGGCTGTGCCCTCTCCAGGGGCTGCCGGGCTGGAGAGGAGCTGGGGAGGGACAGGCGGGGTTTGAAACCGCTCCGGCGGCGCTTGCGGGGCTCCCGACTGAAGAGCGGGTGCTCCAAGTGAGCGGCTTTAAACCCCCGTTCCTCTGGCCCGAAGCACGGGCTGCGCCTGTGCCACAGCCGGCAGAAACGGCGGCAGCAAACCTGTTGCCAGCCATGATACAAATGATGTGTACAGCTACTTGGTAGGTAGATACTGTAGCAGGTCTGAACGCTTTCCTTTGTTTATTGCAGGTTCCTGTGGGTGATCAGACAGCTGTGGTAGGGGATACAGGCATGTCAGAAGAGATGCAGCAAGGTGCTGTGGAGTGTGCCATTCAGTCTCTAGGAATGCAGTGCTTGAGTGTAACATTGCAGCTCATATAATGAGGATAAGTGTTTGCTCCTAAAGCCCTCCTCCTGAGTGCTATATGGACTTCAAAAATCAAGGAAAGATGTTGGTGAGTAAGTAGTTCTAGAATAGTAAGTTCTGTGGACACTAGATAATCCAGTCAGATTTCAGCTGCAGACTGGTGTCTTCATGTTCCTGTCAACCTTACATGCACTTTTCCAGTTCTTCTCTTTCACAATTCCTTCTATTTAACTCCTTTCCTGTGCTCCCAAAGACAGCATTTGAGCAGTAGTGCTCATTTCCTGGTGGTGTCTCCTGCTGGAATTTGTCAGGAAATACAGCCCTACCTAGCAGCATGCTGTGGGAAGGAACATTCACAGCTGTAACACAACAGACCAGTCATCCCATCCCTTTCTAATCAGGTCCTGTTACTGGTCCGCTCCCGAGGGTGCTCAGAGCCATGGACTGACTCTCTCACCTCAGTTAATCAGTTGTGTGCTAACAACGCAAAGCCTCATGCCTTCAGCCTTCCCCAGGAAACACATTCTGGCCACCAAGCCCAATGGGAAGGATTTTGCTGCCATGGTTGATGTGTTTATTGTAGTTAAAGAAAGAATAGAAAGCAGAAAAAAAGCCAAACCTAAACGTCTTTGTATTTGTTTTCTTTCCACAGCCAACTTCTTTGCTAATAAAAGTCTTGCATCCTGCCTTTGGAAGTTTTTTGGCTATCTGACCTCTTTTTCTAGTCCTCTTGTGCTATTTTCATATTTCCCTGCAAATGTGGATGACTGAGTTTGTTAGAAAGTTTGTTTTCTCAAATGCAAAATGTCTAAGCACTGTGATAACAATCCTCATGATTTGGTCAGTAATTCTAAGAGTAATAGAACTAATTAGGGAACAGACAAGAGCTAAAGTAAGGCATTTTGTGGCGCTTCTCCTGAAATATGAGCTTTGCCATTTCATACTGCACCCTGACTCCATATAAAAAACCTGCAGCTCCTCTCCCAGTGAACTTGAGGCCCTCATCCCTAAAATAAGGGGAAAGTGATCAGCAGGGGCGCCCAAGCTTTATTTTAAGGGTTAACTGAAATGCCGATAGAATTTGTTGCCTTGTGTTTTTTCCCCTTTTCTTTTGCTTTGAGGTTAAAGATCACTTGAATTAGGCATTGCAGAGCAATTTGGTGGAAATACTTGATTTCTTATATCCTCTCAGGCCTCTTTGGTCACAAGCTTAACCCCCAGGACTGTCTGTTCCTGCCTGCTGAAGAACTGACAGTGTTCAGCTCTACCTGTTCCAGACCTCTAGCAATGTGTGTTTTGGTCGTTTCCGCTTTGGAAAACGAAAGCCTGGATCCCGCCGGCCCCAGGACGTTGTTTCTGGCCGCATCCCGCCCGCAGCGGCTCGGTGCCTGGTGCTCGCAGGGACTACCCGGGGCTGGGCGTTGTGGGGGCTGCTACCGGCAGGGGGAGCTCTGCGGCCCCAGGCCTCCATTTCCCGTCGTGCTCCGCGGCGGCCGAGGACTACGCGTCCCGTCGTGCCCGCGGGCCCGCCCGGGATCGGCTCCATCCGGGTCCCGGCCACTGCTGAGGGCGACTCGTCGCCATTACGGGGCAGCGGCGGCCAAGCCGGGGCCGGGGCGGCGCCGAGGAGCCGGTGGGTGCCTGGGTGGTGCCGACCACTCGGGCGGCAGGGAGCGCCGGGCCCCGCGGGGCTCCGTGAGCAGCGTCACTTTCCTCGTCGCCCGGAGCCCCGCAGGCCCGGCTCGGCCTCCCGCGGCCTTCCTCCGGTTCGAGCGGAGCAGCGAGAAGATGTCGCCATGAAGGAAGCCGAGTCCGCTCTGCGCCGCCCCCGCCGGTCGCCCCCGCGGGCCATGAGCCTGGGCTCCCACCGGCTCCGCCAGCGCCCGTCCTGTACCCCCGCCCGGGGCCGCCTCTTCCCCCCCGCGGCGCCCGTTGATGCTGCAGAGCCCGCCCGGCGCGACCCCCGCCGCAGCCTCTGCCATGGACAAGAGCAGCCCCTGCGGCTCCGGTGCGTCCGGCTCCTCGGCCGGCAGCAAAGGGCAGCAGCCGCGGTCCGCCTCGGCCGGGCCCGCCGCGGGAGAGTCTAAGCCCAAAGGCGGTAAGAGCCGACCGGGGGAGCGGGAGAGGGGTGTACCCTTGGGCCGGGAGACCCTGGGCTGTCAGGCCGCTGGCGACGGCCCCTCGGGGTCTCGGTGGTGTATCTGAACCGATGTGAGCTCGGGCGGGAGGAACGGCGTAACGCGAGCAGTGAACGGTGTGAGGCTGGGGGGCTTTGTGGCGGCATGGGCTTGTGGTGGGGCTGAGCTCCTTGTTGGTATGTTGTTTGTGCTGGGTCTAATTGGCTTCGTTTCAGGTCACTGCCTTGTTTTGCTTTCTTTTTCCTTCCTCTTCCGGCTTCGCTCAGTGTTGGGTGAGCTGCAGGTCCTACTCTCTTCCTTAAAGGATTAATGTTTTATCTTCATTAGCATTGCAGTAATCAGCTTGAGAGCTCTGGTTTTATAGTAAGAATGGATATTTGCTGGTGCATATGAGCCCTTAACTTCATTCTGTACTCTAGTTAAGTGTGCTTTTGCTCCTTGATTTAGGAGGTCTCATATCAATATTGATGCAGCATTCCCCTTACCGGCTGTGTGTCAGTAACCTGATTTGGAGGAGCTCAGAGTTAGTTATGTGTTGTTTGCTCATCTGGCACTTAAACCAAAGTGTTGTCTGTCATTGCACGCAGCTACTTTTGCTGACACAGCAGTTCATGAGGAGGCATTATGGCCTATATCATCTGTCTTTTTAAGGTAAAACCTAATCTGCCTCCTTTCTCTAAACTTGTCTGGGAGCAGAGTGTTCCTGGAACCTTGCAGGTCTTTTCCCTAAAACCTAGAAATGGGGCAGTAGTGATTAAAATGCGAGGTTTTAGTCTCAGAAGTATTTATCAGAGCATCAGCAGGTTGCTGCAACACCATTGCTGTATTAATTTCCTTCCTCTTCAGTGGCTGGTTTCAACTGCATTACTTCAGGTCGCTGAGAAAGGAGCAGTGTATTCCAGAGGGCTGATAGAATGAGTGTCTTGAAGGTGTTGACTCTTTCTTGGACATTCTGAATGCATTCAGATGCCAGTTAACCAAGTATTGCCTGCTCTTCACCTGGGTTAACTGATCTCCCACAGGACAGACTGGAGTGACATGGGAGATGGCTCACCCGCAGCTCCCCAGGTTGTGGTGTAACTGCGACTACACTGAAATTTGAACTTCAAATTCAAACCCATGGAAGTCTGTTTAGGAAGAACTTTTTTAGGCAGTCGTTTCTGGAAGATCTGTCAGGGGTTTTGTATCAGCAGCAGGGTTTGATGTGGGGGTCTTGTTATCCCTGGTTGCTGCTGTTATTTTTCAGTCTCTTCATGTTTTTCCCCTGTCTAATGGAAGTACAAAGGGAAGCGGGGGATATTATGTTCTAGCTGTGCAACAAGTGTTTCAGAACCAGGTCTTTGCCTTCTGACAGAGTAACAAAGTATATAAACTTCATGCACTGTGAGAGGCAGTGGGAAAGGCTGACATGAGGTTTTCCTGTGGTGGAGACCTGTTTTCTGCCCCTGTGTCACCAAGAGACACCTGATCACTACAGCTTCTTTTTTAGTGATGTGCAGTGTTGTGTAGAGGGTTGTTCACAAAATACAGACATCTTCTTCAGGGAGGTAAGATGGCCTGTCCTGTGGCTGAAGAAACATGCTGAAGAAACAGTATCTGTAGTGAGAAAGGAGATGGAAAGTCTGTCATTCCAGGCCAGAATAAAAGTGTTAGGTGATGTTTTTGTTTTGTGGAATGGCACCTTTTACAGGCTTGAAACATCACTGGTAGCAAAGGAGCAGTGAGAACAGAAATCCTGATGTGCCATACTCTTCTAGTCCAATACAGTTCACTGACTTTTCATTAAAAAAAAAACCCAACTTTTCTTAACACCTGTTTCTTAATAAAGCAGAAGAAAATTTTGGTTTGACATAATTCCTCTTCCGAGATGCTGTTCCCTAACTACAGTGGAGGACAAAGGCTTATGGAATTAGTTGCTTCCTTTAAAGTGCATTGAAGAGGCCTGGCAAAGTTAGAATCTCTTTTGGTAGGACTAAATGTATATCTGGGAATATCTTAGCTGAAGGGTACTGAAAACTAAATGAGAAGGTTCCCTGGCTCAGATTAGGGCAAGACAGCCACAGAATGAACATACAGGACACAGCTGTGTTACATGTTTTGGTAGCTGTTGCATGCAAGACACTGGCATGTGATCTTGTGTTCCTTCTCATGGTGCATGTAACTGATGTGATCCACCCAATTTCTCTCCCATTTCAGGAAAGGTATAGGATTTATTCTGAAAATCTTGAGTCTCCTTTGGAATGGGAAGTATCCATATGGGCCACAGACCTTCCCCACAGTGCTGACCCTTAGTTGCACTAATGGTCACTGGATGGTCCAGTCAAGCTCTTGCCATTTAGATGCTTTCCAGAGTTTTCTACTGTGATTGAGTCCAGCTGAGGAAATCGACATTCATTAAATCTTGTGGTAGCTTCTTCTGTTTCTCTTGCATCACAGCTAGAAATAGGTTAAATAGAATACCATGAGCTCTTCTACCTGTAGAACTTAGATTCCCACTATGTTTCAAACTTGGCCTTAGAAATGAGATTAAACTTGGAATCTTTCAACAGAAAAGTTTCTTTGGCTTGTATTAGTGCACCAGCAGGAACCACATCCCATTAGGATGGAATAAAGCAGCTAAGGCCAAATAAGCTTGTTGGGTTTCTCTGCAGTGCTCAACACCTGATGGGCAATATTAATTCTTGCAGATGTTGCTGGGCCTTATTATTACAGCATGAGTGTGCTGAGCTGGGGTGTGTGGCTGCTCACTCACCTCTTGCTCATGGATGTTTGCCTTCACAGCAGCAATACCTTCCGTGTGTTTTCATGCAATCACCCTGAGGCTTAAGTGTGACCCACCACCCAAACCCCTTACGCAACATGGCTGGCTTCAACACAGCTCAGCTGAGAAGAGGGAGCAAAGAGAGATGGAAGGAAACTACAGTTGTCACCCCAGTAGTAAACCAGTGGTGAACTCCAGGACCAAAGTGAACACCTAGAGCTGGTTTTGGTCCTGTGAGCTTGACTTCCTCCCTCTGGATCTTTGGAAATAGAGGGCCTCTAACAATATGGTGTCCAACAGGAAAACCCACAAATGTCAGAGCTTGCTCCAAAAGGCAAGAACAGCTTTGCTGCTAGTTGTATAAAATTACATACACAGTATTTGTTATAAATCTATGTTCTCCTGGGGGAGTGGATGGGTCAATCTGTGTGTTACAGGTTAGGTCATGTGACAAAAGCAAAATGGCTGAGGACCTGAATGAATAGCAAGTACCTCACCAGCGCTGTTGTTGTTGCTCATCCCCAAGTTTCCAAGAAAAGAAGGAAAAAAGAATCTCCCCAGTTTAAACCAACAGTACCTAAAACTGGGATCTAACAAGAGACAATGGTAGTGAGAATCTTCCACTTCTCTCCCTGCTTGAGTGCAGATAACCCTGTCCTGCCCCACTCTTCATCAGAATTCAAGGAGGTGTAATACGAAGCAGAGAGCACCCTGACATGTAGCTTGCAGGAAAAGGTTGGATTTGCTTAGATTCAGGGTGGAGGAAAAGTGTTCCAGTTCATGAATGCATACTCCACACTCTTGGTTTCTCTTGACAGATTTCAGTGCTACTCTGATGGACCAGAATCCTCATAAGGGTAATTATTCTGCAGGAAGAAACCTGGAATCAGTAAAGTCAGTTTTGGAGCATTGTTAGACTGTGATACAAGGCAGAGGTGCTATGAACTGTGAGAGTCACTGTAGTGAATCCTGCAAGCTCTAGGAGTGGCGTTGGAAGGACCTGTAATACGACAGGAATGTGTGTAAACTGGGTGACAAATTTAATGGTGACTACCTTGATTAAAACTAGAAGTGGTAGGAAATTCTTCTGTCGGCTGCAGGTACAAACTGTTCCTTGTTCTTGGGCCTGTAAAAACCCACTTGAGGCTGAGCTTCTCTTGAGTTGTTTCTGCAAAGTTGTTGCAGACGCAAGAAGCGCGTGCTCCTCTAGTGCACTTATTGGAATTGCAGATGCAAGAGGGTGGTTGTGCTCTAAGCTCCTGAATAACTGAAAGGATAGTCCAAACCTCTTCAAAATAACTTACTTTTTTTCACCAGAGATCCAGTGGTGCTGATTATAGCCTCTTCCCTGCAAACACTCTCAAAAAAGGTCTATCTGAGTAATCAGTCAGCCAGACTTGGTCACACCCTCAGTACTTGGTTGCTTCTGGTGTGGTTCTTTCCTGATAATACTCAACCCATGTCTCTTTAGCCTGACGTGACTGATAGCACTGCAAGCTGTGCAAGCTTGTCTCTGAGTTACACATCTGGGGTTCTGATGGAGTTGGTCTAATTAAAGGATCAGCCTTTTGAATAGCAGAGTAAATACCAGTTCTGGGGATAGTTTGCCTGTAGAATGGCTCTGTCACATCACAGGGAAGTAATGATATAGCGTTCTTTTACTTCTGTAGTTGCAGTTGCGGGCAAAGCCTGGCATGTGCAAGAAACAGACCACCATAAAACCCAGTCAAGCCACTTTTATTACCTGTTCTTAAAAAGTCAGCTCCTCAATAATGCACAATAACACAGACACCTTCCAGTCCACTGCCCCTCTCTTTTGAGAGTAATGTGCTATAAAAAACCCTAAAAATAACAAAAGAAAAGAGACTGCATGTGAGTGATTCCATTACAGCTGTTTTAAATGCTCAGGTAGATTGGAAGTGGTGCTGGGGAAGGGGAAAACCGGGGGCACTGGAAATGAAACAACCCATTTAAGAAACACGTGCTGAATCACAGTGGGGTGTTTGCCTGCCATGTGAGATTTCTGTTAAGGGGTGGGGAGGACTGTGAGGTGGGGAAACTTGTAGGTTTTTATGAAATGGGTCTGGCTGTTTTTCATGAGGCATTCCTGCTTGGGTATAGCTTACTGAGTATCCAGAGGCACTCTGGGGCTGGCTGATGTGGATAAACATCTTGTTAGGCCTGTGGACTTTTTGCTTCCAAGCTTATCAGCATACCTCTCCTACAAATAAAACTCAGGGCAGTTGGTGATAATGGTGGGTTAAGCGTGTTGTGTCCTTGGGGCAACTTCAATCTTGTGTTAAGATTGGTAGAAATACCTTAATGTATTAATTTTCTGTTCTAGCAGTCTAATGAAGCAGCTGTTTAGACACAGGAAACCCCTTTCAAGAGCCTGATGGGTTTTCCTACTCTTGTGGGCTCCATTCCTGCCGTATTTTGCTTTGTGTTTCATCTCTGTGTCCTACATTAGGATCAGTGGTGTGTTTAGCAATGCTTTTGGGCAAACATTTCCTGTTGCATAGGTTGGTGGACTTAGTACTTGGGTATGTCCCCTGCAAGGCCAGAGCATTGGTTTGGTGCTTCATGATTGATTAGCATCTGTTGGCCTGGTGAAAGAAGTAGATTTGTTTGGGTCTTTTTAGCACAGCAGGCAGAACTGAGTGAAAACAGGCAACGGGGTCTTGTGAAGTGGGAGACTTCAAGACAAATGCAGCATATTTACATATACAAACATGGTATATTTATGTAGGGGAACAATATATGATGTGTTGTGTGTTTTCAGAAAATAGAAGGAAAATGTTAACTAGTTGTCCATTTTTGTAATGGGACATGAAGATGTGGTGTTGGTGGTTATCACTTCATGTACCAGGCAACGCACTGACATCTGGTGACAGCAGTTCCAAAGCTAGATAAAATGAATTCAACCACTAGTAAAAGAGAGAGCACAGCAAATACATCCTTTTTTTTTTTTCTTATACTCTTTGACCAGTTCTTTTGGGCAGTGATAGGAATAAAATGGTTTGAGTGCCTGAGGGGGTGAAACTGATACATCCTGATGTGATGTCTAACCAGGGCCCAGGGCAGTGGCCTAGGTGAGCATGTCGCAGAGGTGCAGTACATCTGGACAGCTCCGAGGCTACCAATCTGATCCTTGTTTTTCTTCTTTTTCTTTTAGATGGAAAGAATTCCAATGGATCCAAACAGCGTTATAATCGTAAAAGAGAAACTTCCTATTCAAAAAATGAGAACTTTTCCAGTCAGTCCCGTCGCTCCAATTCACAGAAAAGCAAAGCTTTTAATAAGATGCCTCCTCAAAGGGGAGGTAACGGTGGAAGTGGCAAACTTTTTAGCTCTTCTAATGGTGGAAGACGAGATGAGGTGAGAATCATAATGGTGTGCCTCCAGGGCCTTCTTTCTTGGGACAAGAGGATCGCTCTGACCTGCCTAGATAGGTCTGTGTTCAGCTCCTGGGCTGGGAAGGGAAAGAGCGATAAGAGGTGCTAACATCGTTGAGATGCCAGAGTGAGTGTGAGTGGAACAACTTGGCAACAACCAACAACAGAAGAGGAGTGCTCTCTGCTCTGAGATACTTGCAGTAAAAAATGCCATCTGAGGAATGGGTGCCTAGATAGGCCATGTACATACCTCCTGAAACACAGGTCCTTGATGAAAATATCTGGTGATGCAATTTCTAGGTTTTTCAGTTTGGTGTGATCAGAATCACAGAATCGTTTAGATTGGCAAAGACTTGTAAGAATGAGTCCAACCGATAACCCAGCACTGCCAAGGCCATCACTAACCCATGTCCCAAGTGCCACATCAACATGCCTTTTAAATACCTCCAGGCATGGCACCTTCACCACTTCCCTGGGCAGCCTGTTCCAAGGCTTGACAACCCTTTTGGTGAAGAAATTTTTCCCAATCTCCAATCCAAACCTCCCCTTATGTAACTTGAGGCTATTTTTTCTTGTCCTTATCACTTTTTATTTGGGAGAAGACACCAAGACCCACCTTGGTACAGCCTCCTTTAAGGTAGCTGTACAGAACGATAGGATCACCCTGATGATCTGCTCCATAACCTTACCTGTCACTGAGGTTAGACTGACAGCCCCATAGTTCTTCCTGCCCTTCTTGTAGATGGGTGTCACATTTGCTAACCTCCAGTCAGCTGGGACCACCCTTGTCACTATGCTTCCCCCCGCATGCAGTAAAAGATGGAGATTCTCCTTAGCCCTCCTTTTGTTGCTAATATAGTTACAGGAATGATTTTTATTCTTTTACAGCAGTAGCCAGATTAAGTTCTAGTTGGACTTTGGCCCTCCTAATTTTCTCCCTGCATAACTTCATGACATCCTTGTAGTCCTCGTGAGTTGCCTGCCCCTTCTTCCAAAGGCCATAACTCTTCATTTTGTCCTGACTTCCAGCTAGAGCTCCCTGTTCAGCCAGGTTGGCGTGTCTTTTGGCACATATGGATGGCCTGCTCCTGTGCTTTTAATGTTTTCTCGAAGTCCCAGACCTTCTTGGACTCCTTTGCTCTTTAGGACTGCCTCCAAAGGGACTCTGGCAGCCAGGCTCCTAAACAGAGTCTGCCCTCTGGAGACTGATTGTGCCTGATCACTTCAGTGTACAACTTTGCATGTGATGGTGGTGTTGGGAGAGTAATTGTATTGGCGTGGGTGATGTCAGGATGGAGTAAAACCAGATTGAGGCTTTTATGCTGATACGGGTCTAAATACTGTATAGACTGTTCGTGGGTTTTCATTGAGAGCTCTGCTTTTCCAGTTTTAGTGGATGAGCAGCTCTGCTCACCTGAATTGTTGACTCTGTCACAAGTCACCTGCTATTTGCTGGATTCTCATTCTTTACTTCATTATGTGAAAACTAACCAAAACAGTCTGTGCAAATAGTAATCAGACTTGTATTACTGGCTGTCTAAAATAATATTGTCTTGATTTGAACAGCTGTCTTCTGTTAGTAACCTTGACTACTATGTTTTGCCAGCTTATACTTGTCCTTATGTGGGCTGTTCTTATGCTTTCCTCCTTTTGATCAGTGTGGGGTAAGACCACTCAGCTCTGACTTTCAGGTTCTGGTGCACTTCTAACGCTGCACTACTTGATTTGCAGAACTGGAATGGGAGCAGGTGAGTGAGTGGATGCTCTATACTCTGTCCATAATCATTGATGGGGCCTGGGTATCAGCTTGTATTGATGCTTATGCAGTAAATTCTAGCAAGTTCTAACAAATGCTGTTGTTTCTTAGGTAGCAGAGGCTCAGCGGGCAGAGTTCAGCCCTGCCCAATACTCTGGTCCCAAGAAGATTAATCTGAACCACTTACTGAACTTCACTTTTGAACCCCGTGGCCAAGCAGGCCATTTTGATGGGAATGGACATGGCAACTGGGGGAAAAGGAACAAGTGGGGACATAAACCTTTCAACAAGGAGCTCTTCCTACAGGCCAAGTGAGTGGAAGACCAGCAGGGCTCTTAAACTTCTACAGAGACACTGAGCTGTAAGGGATGATCAGCCAGGGAATTGTGCTTGACCTTCACTACTTGTATTGACTTTTCCAGGGTGAAGTTACCTCTCTGTAGTGTTCGTAGTGGTAATGACTATACTTGAAAGGGATAAGACTACATCAAAGTTGTCATCTTTACCTATTTACAAGGTATCTCATGGAGTGAGTCCTTTAGATACAAAACAATTGGACTTTGGCTCTAGTTTTCTAGCATCACTAGTGGAATATGACACTCTGCTAGGGAAGACCAATGTAGACCTTATGGAAGACAGCAATTTTTTCCAAAGAATAGTATGTTGAGGTGGTTGGGGTAGCAGTTGCTGGCTGAAAGCTAATCTGAATCTGTAAGTCCCAGAAGCAATTACTCATACGGGTCTTAGTTCTTAAACTGCTGGTTATTTCACAGGCCCATAGGTATGTATTATAACCCAAATGATGACCAGTGTTGTAATCCAGCAGCAGAACTGCTTTTGACTGGAAGTTCTGGTCACTTCCACTGGGATTTGAAGCATAGTCAGGACTTTCTGTATTGGATCCTGTTAAAGACAAAACCAGCTATTTTCAGCATTGATGCTTCTGTTTTTTCCCTACTGTTTTGTGGCTTGTTGTAGTGAAGTCTGTTTGCAGGAATCCCAGTAGTTGTAGTTTTTGTGACCATATTTTTTCCACTTGTGGATTCCCTTTTTTCTTTTCTAATAGATCCTGGAAGGAGCTGGCTGTTTCTTACAGTTTCTGGAAAACCACTGTGCCTGGCTCATTCTGTAGTTAGTATGTGCTGATATTGTGTCTAACTGAAATTAGACACATCTGTATTCTGGAAATCTGGTTATGACTTGAACTCTTTTGGTTTTTGTTCATAGAAGTTACTGACTGTGCCCAGCAGTTTCCTGCTGGACAACGAAGAAGCTCAGAGAATCCTATAGGATAGTTCTCAAAGAATTTTTAGAAACAACTGAGTGGATCATCTGTCTCTTTGCCTTTCCCCAGCTGCCAGTTTGTTGTCTCTGAAGAACAGGACTACACAGTCCACTTTGCTGATCCAGATACCTTGGTCAACTGGGACTTTGTGGAGCAAGTGGTCAGTTGTGATGGGCTAGATTTTTTTTTATCTTCTTCTTATTAAGAAGCTCACCCTGTCTTTAACTGCCTCTTTCTCTCTGTGATGTTACATAAAACTCAGCTGTTTTTGAGTTGAGGCCTCTTCTGTCACTCCCACAATACTGGGAAAGATCTGTCATGGAATATATTATGAAATACTTTCATGACAGGAAAAGAGAAGTGCTAAAATCTATTAGGAAAATTAGCAGCTTCTTCTTGCTTTCGCAGATGGGAGCTCATCAAAAATAGTATCTGACATTCTGTAGACAGAGTCCTTGTGATCGAGATATTAACAGAAAACTTGGGCATGAGTCCATGGAAGAGGACTAGAGTGTAGAATTTTGGAGGATTATTCTGTGCATAGGTGGCCTGTCTTGCCTAGCAACAAAATGGAAAATCTCTTGGGAATTATGGTCAGAACTTTGGGTTGCCTCAAGTAGAAACTTATTATCTGCCAAGTCTAGTCTTGGTGTATGGTGTAGGTGGGGAGGAGGCAGGAGACCTGACACTACAAGAGAACTGAAAAGTCTAGGTGCTTGCTTGGCAGTTATGTCTCTGCAACATACAGATGCTAAAGCATCTGACTGAACTAACATGTTCATGGAAATAGGTAAGTTCAGTCTCGCAGTTGAACAGAGCTGCACAAGTCTGCTTGTGTAAATGAGGCAGCAGAGCTCATTTGCTGTCTTCTCAGTGTCTGAATTCAGATGAAGATGCTGCTAACTCGTAAGAGATGATGAATACATGACTGGGAACTTGAGAAGAGTCACTTTTTTAATGTCATTAGAGTAGGAATACCAGATGGGTGGCTTTGAAGGCTGTTCCATGTGCAGTCTGAAGGTGTTACTTAGTTCACAGTGTACTTAATTTCTTGGTAAATAAGCAGAGCCTAAAGAGCTGGAAGATTAATTTGTTAGAGTAGATCTTACAGTGGCTTATTCTGTATCACAGGAGCTGATTTCCAAGTCTAAAACTTGTGCTGTTGTTCTCATATGCCATTTCAGCGAATCTGTAGCCATGAAGTGCCCTCTTGTCCCATATGTCTGTACCCACCAACTGCAGCAAAGATTACCCGCTGTGGGCATATCTTTTGTTGGGCCTGTATCCTTCACTATCTCTCCTTGAGTGAAAAGACCTGGAGTAAATGTCCTATTTGTTACAGCTCTGTTCACAAGAAGGATCTCAAGAGGTGAGACTTGGTATTTATTGAATGATGTATCCTTTTGAAATGTGTTTGCCCCACTAACCTCCTCCTTCCATTACAGCGTTGTTGCTATGGAAACACGTCAATATGCAATTGGTGATACCATTACCATGCAACTTATGAGAAGAGAGAAAGGTGTTCTGATAGCACTGCCCAAATCTCAGTGGATGGATGTGGTGCAGCCAGTTTACTTTGGAGGTGAGTGTATCTGAGGACTGGTGGTTGGCCTTCTACTCTTAATGTGACTAGGACTTGTGTAGAGAGAATTTATCATGGCAATGCCATGCTGTCACCTTAAAGTAAGCCAGTCTACAAAATACAGGTTTTAGCAGCTGAAAACCTTTGTGACCACATATTAATAATAAGCTTTCTACCCCCATTTTGTTTTCTGTAAGACTTTAACTTGTGCGCTATTTCCCTTCAGGTTACTGCACTGCAGACTCCTGCCTTCTCAGTCATTGCTATGAGTTTGTGTGTTATGTTGTACGGCCATCGGTGTGACTCTTGCTGCTTCTGTTGGCTCACCAGTGTCCTTAACATTTTTATTTCTCCTGGCTCCTCATTGTACAGCTTAGCAAAAATAACTGTCTCTTGTCTAAACTATTCTAGGGATGTAATTTTCAACAAGGTTTTCATCATCTTCACTTATCACCTAAAATCTGTGAATGATATGGGAAAATAATGAAAATTATTGCAAACCTATTCCAAACATCTGTTGCTTGACTTCTTCAGTTTTCTCCAGTAGAGTTATGTGACTTAACACATCATCATCTTATCTGTTAGTATCACAGAAATTCTTGTGACTGAAGAAATTATCTTACCATTGCTGGCTCGTGGGCTGGCTTGGCTCCCTTCATTTTGCAGTCACACTTATGGAGGGCTGTGTGCATTGAAGCTCTCTGTAAAAAGTGAAGTCTCTGAACACACGATGGGTATCCAGCATGCAGCGGGTGCGCTTCCATGTGTCATGGCCTTTGAAAGGAAAGGACTTTAAATCCTTTCATAAAGCAAAGAACAAACAGGGATGTGAGATCATTCTAAACCCAGGAAATTCAGTGTTAACTTGGTGTTCTGTAGACAGGGTTGGAGCCCTGGGGAGCAGTGACCATAGGGACTGTACTAGGATGTGATGCTGTGGTAGCTGTAAAGTTTATAGTTAAGTTGTCTAGTAACAAAGGTGACTATTCTTTGCTAAACTTACAGCTCTTCAGCTTACTCTTTCTGCTGTGCTTCTTGTAAACCCCTCATAATAATGTTGTGCACTTTCTTTTTTAATACATACGGGCTCATGGGCTAGTTTGAGCCAAACCAGGGGTCAGTTTTGCAGAGCTTTCCAGTTGCAGTATTTATGCGGATATTAATGATCTGATGCTCCTTCTTTTCAGATGACCATCACAGTCAGTATTCAAAGCTGCTTCTGGCATCCAGGGAGCAGGTCTTGCAGCTGGTGATTCTGGAGGAGAAAGCAGCATTACTAAAGCAGTATGAGGAAGAAAAACACACCCCAGAGGCTTGCTTTATTGAGGCAGCTATCCAGGAACTGAAGGTAAGAACCTCTTTGGAGGCTTTAGTAATTTTAGTTTTAGAAGTATGCTGGGTGCTGACCATCTATATTCTGCTGTGTAAGTGCTTGTGTATGGTTATTCTGGTCTCCACAATACACGTATTAGCAAGGTGATGACGTTTGCATAGAACAGTGTTATAAATCTTGGTTGATGCTGTAGACTTTAGAGCCCAGGTGCTTTAGACTTTGGAGCATGGTGTTCAAAACAACAGAACAGAATGCTTTTTAGTGAATGGTATTCATTCCATTCCATGTGGAGTTCTGCTTTCAAAGGAAGATGTGTTACCCTTTCAGCTCCAGCAATTTCTTGGATAACATCTGTTGGGCAGACATAAGCAAATCTGTAGAACATTCCTTTTCAAAGCCATTAGGTGTGCTACACTGGGTGTGCTTTCCAGTAACAAGGAGAGGACCTCACTTCAAGGGTCACAGATGAATTAAAGATCTGTAAGAACCTGAATTATAGGGCAAGGCTAAAAATAACTATGGTGATAGTCTCCTGGCTTAAAAAGCAAATTGAAACTTACTCTCTTTGGTGACCTGTAGGAGCGAGAAACGGCACTCTCTGCTGACCAGCGTAAAAACAATGGCATTGCTGGAATCAGTGCAGCTGTGGAAGAATTGGTACTAGAAAGTTCCAAGGCTGTGGAGCCTGCAGTTTCCCAAGAGAAAAAGGTGGGTGACAACTCTGTTCTGGCAGATCCTGTTAATACTTAGTTCCACCACTTCACTCTGCAGTCTGTGGTGAAGTGGCACCAAAAACTTCTGCAGAGATGATAATCTTTTGAAGGAGGTGATGTATTACTAATTGTATGCTCTCTGCTGTGATAGTGTGGTGTGGAATATCTCTCTGCTTTTGATGAGGAGCTTGTGGAGCCTTGCTCTGATCTGGCAAGTTCCCTTTCACCACCCATGGAAGCAGAAGAGGCAGTGCTGGATGAAGAGGAAGTACCTGAGGTGGATATAGGAGGGGATCCTGATACAAACACTGTGGAAGAATCAAATCCCGTTGAAACATGCTGCCAAGAATCTAAAGATACAGTTACCAGTGGACACCTAAGCAACTCTCCTTTTTACTATTTCTATCAAGGTCAGTGCAATGAAATCCTGGAATCATGGGGGCAGAGTTGCCTCCTTTGGGATCCCTCTTGAGGAAGAGGTTTGTCACTTCATTAGATGCAGCTGACCCCTGTGAAATAAAAGTCCCACAGAAATTCAGAGAGGAGCTTTAATTTTATTACTGGAGAATGTATCAAGATGGGGAGAAAGGTACTGAAAATGAAAAGGCAAAGCACAAGTGATGGTATCTTCTCTTGCAGCGGAGGACGGGCAGTGTATGTATCTTCACCCAGTGAATGTTCGATGTCTCGTTCGTGAATATGGCAGCTTGGAGAAGAGTCCAGAGAAGATAACTGCAGCTGTAGTGGAGATAACTGGCTACTCAATGACAGAGGTAGTTATTTAATCTTCTTATTAATTAAGGGGCATTGTTTTAGCAGATTAATCATTGCAGCTGATGAGACTTGTTTCTCTTCGGTAATAGTAAATAACAACTATGGATGGGTAGGCACCCTAGGCTGGAAAGGGGGTCTGTGTAAGGTGCAGTACCTTATGTTGCTTTTGGTAAGTAGGCTGCAGTCTGCTTTTTTTCTTTCTCCCTAGAAGGAAGTCCTAGAGGTAAGAGAATTGCAAGCTTAAGATTGCTTTGTTGTTAAAACTGTCTTAAAAGTAAATTCTTTTCTCATATAGGACAGTAGCTTGAACTACACAGATCATCATCTTTCTCAGCCTGGTGAAGTGTTCTGCCTCTGTCTTCACAAACAGTTGTTTCTGAGCATCAGGGGTAGAGGAGAATAAAGAGGATGGACAGAAACTGCAGTGGTTGAGATAGAGGCTCTGAAAGTGCTTAAGCCACTGAAGCTCTGGAAGAAGAGGGGATGGGTCTTGAATTTACCTGAGATAAAGACACCTGTAAGAATTGACATGTGCAGTAATAACTATACATAATTCTTAATTAATCTTTTAAGAAAGTATATGCTCAGGTAGGAATGGATGCGGAGATAGGTAGGAATGGATGTGGAGTTAGGGAATTGTCTGCAATTTTTTTGCCGCTGTGTGGAAAAATACAAAACTTGGCTTGTTTCAATCTAGCAAATTGGTGGTCGTTGATCCATATAGTTGAAGTGTAAAAGGTACATTTGGTCCAGTGCGAAAATAATTATGTCAGAAGACTGGTAATAAAGAATTCTATTCCAGTGGTGTGAGAAGGGAGAAACAACAAGAAAACTGGTAACCAAGGTGGAGTAACTTCATCCAAACATAATCAGGATGTAGCTGGTGAAGATCTTGGAGCATTAGGTCCTGACCCAGCGCATCCCTCACATGTTTATCATTTATAAAGTGATTATTACATCACTGCTGTTACTTTTTCCCATTTGATTTTGTGGAATGGTGGGTGTTCAATCTCCATTATCTGCCCATCGCTATGGCAGCTTCTCAACCTTGTTGTGATGATACCCCAATTCTTTTTTTATTAGGATATAAGACAGCGTCATCGCTATCTCTGTCACTTGCCCCTCACCTGTGAGTTCAGCATTTGTGAACTGGCTCTGAAGCCACCCATCATCTCTAAGGAGACTTTGGAGTTGTTTTCAGGTTGGTACTGCCTTTTTAGTTGGCTCTGCCATGTATTCATGAAGGTGAAGTCATTCTTATCCCTTAATGGCAGATAAAAGAACATACATAGCAGCTTTACTCCTCTTGCACCAACTGTCGATGACTACTAGACAGAACAACCCCAATTCACTATTTTCTAGACAACAGTTACACGAAGAATAAAAAAGCCTGACTGCTTGGAAGAGCATATGTTGTTTGTAACCATATTTTGTTACTAGTGTGCTGTAGCTGAATATGTTGTTCTCAGAGCTGGAGAAAACATTGCCAAGGTATCAGTGTGGGGGTTTTTGATACCCACTGGTGTGCATTGCTTCTAGATGACCTTGAAAAGAGGAAACGTCTGCGGCAGAAGAAAGCTCGTGATGAACGGCGACGTGAACGCAGAATTGAAATAGAAGAAAACAAGAAACAGGGCAAATGTAAGTGGTGCTTGTGCATAAGTGATGGATTTCCTGTCATCTTTAGGTGTTGAGCTGATACAGGATGGACTCTAAGGCCTTTAGTTTGTAGTATGTGCTTAGAAAAGAATTACAAGGGATTAGAAACAATGTCTGCAGAGTGAAAAATAGAAGCTGTTTTAGTCAGGATGTTAAGTGATGTCATGCTGCATACTCACACATTGTGGGGGAGTCAGAGGGCATTTGGGGGCGCAGCTATCTCCGTGGTGTACATAGGTCTCAGGATTCTTAGTTGCTGGGTTTATGGTAATCGCAATATAGTGTGAAAAGTGAAGAAGGTAAGAAGATGCCTAGGGACTGTTCCCATCCAGCAGCGGGGTTTGTAGCGGTCTCTAAAATAGAGGGTTGAAAGAAAATTGACTTGGCACCTCCTAGATTCCTGAAGCACTTGCATATTGACAGTCCTCCACACTGTGTAATGCTTTAATTTAACACCTCTTCCAGATCCAGAGGTCCATATTGCTTTAGAGAATCTGCAGCAGTTCCCTGCTTTTACCTCTTGTCCCAGAGAAACTACCAGCATTGATCATCGGAGCTTCTGTCTGTCTCCTCTTGGCAGAAGCCCGGTGTATCAGACAGGTGAGCATCTGGAAAAACACATTGCATCCAGCTCTTGATTGTTCTTTTGGGCTCTACTGCTTAGGTCATCACACTAAACTTTCTTAAATGCTGATCAAAGACATTCCTGTTTTGCTTATAAGATCACACACAAAAGCTAAGAAACAGCTAAGAAACATTCTGGTCCTTTGTCTGCTTTTTACTACCTCTACTTCAGTGGCAGTGAGAGATCTGCACTGTAGTTACCCCATCTTTTAAATCTTTGCTAAGGCAGAATAAAAGAAAGGAAAAAAGTTTCCCCAAAAGGAAATTCAAGTGTGTATGCCAGGAAAACACTACTGGCATGTTTGCTTTCTACCCTCTCCATCTTCCCCACTGAAATCAAACATAGCTGATGAGCACTCAGGCTGTTGTCCAGTGATGCTTTACCAAGTGTTTTATCTTGCATTAAATCTTCTTTAAATAAGAATATTGAGAAAATTTAGGAGGTCCCACTTGTGACTGATGGATGGAACTGATGAGAGAACTGAATAATTACATAAGATAAAGCTTTATTTCTGCTTCATCCTGATAAACAGCAGAATGGGTGTCTCTGGCAAATGCAACTGTCTTTAATTACCTGCTGCTTTCTCTGTAGAGTCTATTCCAACTCCACTGTCACCTGCTGCCAGCCAGGTCAGCCCTTTGCTCTGTGGGAGTTTGGAAGAGGAGTCTCCCTTCCCTTCCTTTGCCCAGGTAAGCTATGTAGGAGAGTAAATCTTGGCAGAATTGCTTATGTCTTAGTTGAGGATTAGTCTGAGAACAAAATTGCTTCCCCCACAGAAACAGTGTGGGATAAATCTTATGGAGATAGCATAGGGTTTGAGTGCTTCAGGGGGTTCCTGTGTTTTTGTTTCCACTTAAGGGGTACGCAGGATTGGTTTAGTACCTGGGATTTAATAATATCTTACAACTTTTTTGATAGATGTTGAGAGTTGGAAAGGCGAAACCAGAAACGTGGCCCAAACCTGCTCCGAAGACAAGAGGTGAGAAGATTTGCTATTACTGTTTCAGGTTCTTTACCATGAATCTAAATCCATGAGATCTTGTCACTTCACAAGAAACATCTGGAGTGTGGAGGCACATTTGCACTGCACATGTTTTATACAGCCTTCTGCCTCTCAAGGCACTCTCCCTCTTTCAGATGAGAACACTCTGGCCCTCCCTGTGCCAGTGGATAGTGATGGAGAAAGCGACAGCTCTGACCGCATACCTGTGCCCAGCTTCCAGAATTCCTTCAGCCAAGCGATTGAGGCAGCCCTCCTGAAACTGGACAAACCGTCCACAGCTGCTCATTTGTCAGGTAAAAGGTGGGGAGGGGAGTGAAAAACCAGAGTATTTCCCCTTCTTCCTATGGGAGAAGGGAGAGCAGCAATTTTGGGGACCAAAAATCAGCCACAGAACAGGGCTGAAAATTGTCAGGTGGTGTTTTCTGAACAGCTTGACTAAGGCTTCTGTTAGTTTAAAGCAGCCCCCCGAGTGAGAGCTGAGTTCTCAGACTAGCAGAGAATCTTGCTAGGACAAAGATGGCTTTTGGCAATCCTGTATGCCATGTTTTTACTAGATCTTAATGTAAGCTTTGTCTTCAGGAGGTTTAGCTTATGCAGTTTTAAACTACAAATACCTGAGCTGCTTGAAGCTTACCTGAACTTAAGCTTAACCACGTTAGTTTCACTGAAATTTCAAATTGGGATGAACTTAAACCACCAAGCCAATTGCTCATTTCTAATGCTCAGTTCTGATGTTTAGCTCTGGCTTCTATTTGGGGCTGCACTGAATGATGAAGAGAGTTGGACAAAAGGGCCTAGGAGTTTCAGCGAGGTTGAGTCTTGGCTCCAGTTGTAGTGGTTTTCGGACATGAATGAAAGCTGTACTTGTCTGCAAGGCACACTTGCACTCAGGATCTGCTGTTGCAACAGCAGCTTTAGAATCGGGCATGTTTATAGGTGTGGATTAAGTGTTACGGTGTCTCCCTTTCTTTGTCTGCAGTCATTTTTGTGTTAAAATTGAGCTACCTGGTGCTCAGTATGTTTATAGGAAGTGTCATGGACCTGTAGGAGTCATTTAGGCTAGGGAAGACTGCTTATCATTTCTGTGTGATGTTCCTGTTCCATGAGAAGAATGACAGTATCATTTTGATTCTTCACAGAGGAAAAGGGAGGCAAGAAAAGAAAGAAACAGAAGCAGAAGCTATTGTTCAGCACCTCTGTTGTTCACACAAAGTAATTCTGCTGTTCACAAGAAGTTTTCTCTCCTGGTTTTCTTTTCATTTTGCTTTGTTTTGCTGCTATAGTTTAAGTATTTAAATTTGAACAGACTAAAGTTGTGTTTCCAGGGCTTCTAGGGGGTTCAGGAGGAAACCATGAACAGGATATGTTGAAGTAAGACCTTCTGATTCCAACTGCTTAATCAGGTCATACTGAAACAAAGTTTTGAAAGAAACAACTCAGAGACAAATCAGCCAAGGTCTCTAGTGTGTGCCAGGTTGGTTCTTTTGGCCTAACAGGCAGTGTGAAAGTCTTACACCTGTGTGGCACTGCCAGAATACTGCAATATTACCTAAGTGAAGATGCAGAGAGCCTTTATTTCCCTAGAAGTACTCATGGGCAGAAGTCCACCTGACTGTGACAGCAGCGCTGTCTCAGTAAAGCTGTCAAACTGCTCTCTTGAGAAACTGCTTTCTGCTGCACTGGAAATGGGCAAAAGAGCTTACTGGCTTTAGAGTGTTAGCTGCTATTATCTGTTCTTTTCCTAAAGAGCAAGTATTCCTCCTGTTCTCCTGGCTTGGAAAGATTTAAAGCTGAGGTGAGCATAGAGCAGAACTTGGCTGCTTGGTTTTGAAGTGACTCTTGATGGATTTGTGTATTTGAAACGTGTCCTGGTGCTGGTGGCGGAAGGCACCTCCTGGCTTCTGTCAGTTGTTCAACTCTGGTTTAATGTGGGTGAGTGAGGCTGCTAATTTTTTCTCTTCTGCCAACTATGGGCTGCACATTCTTTGTAACCTGATCATCTAGAATAAACACTCCACCCTAGGGCTCTTGTAACTACCTGAATGATGTTTGGACACTAACTGCTCTGGAATTGGAAGAACAACTGATAGCTGGAGTCTGTAGTTAAGCTGGGTGCTTTGTACTGGGGTTAAGGGGCTCTATCTTGCTTCGTTCTGGGATGTTAATTTGGTCTGCACTAAGCACCTCAGGCTATAACCATGTCTCTTCTGGACCCCTCCCCACTCTTTCTTTGGGTGGTCACATTCTGCACTGCTTGTGGTTTGATTTGAGCTTATGAGTTCAGTGGTGTGGATTTTGTTGAATAAAATGAACTATAGGAGTCATGTACCAGTCAAGGCCAACAGTTGCAATAAATCATACGCACATGCACTTAAGAGTACTGCACACTTCCTGAGCTAGAGCTGAACTGTCACACCAACATGGAGCACAAGAACATGTAGTTGCACAGATTTAAATCTTGCCTTCCTACCGACAGAATTCATGCCAGGGAGCTGGTGTAAAGTACCACATAACTTACAGCGTGAGACTGATGGTGTCTTCTGTTTTCTTTGGCCCCACTTGCACCCATGGTCTGCGTGTATGTGCACAGGCTGTAAAAAGGTGATGTGCTCCTCCCTCTGACACTGAGACTGATCTGAGAAAGGACAAGTGTGTTAGATACCTGACTCCAAGAGTCACAGACACCATTGGCAATCATTGTTTGTGTCTCTATTTAAGGGCTTTATGTCAGTACACTCTGAAGCAACAGGCTCCCAGTTATACCAGTGCTTCCTTGAGGAACTTAAGCATGTGTGCATGGAAGCCAGTACTGCAGAGTACACTTCACAAAACTCTCTATGTGGCTGTGAGCCAGAAAGAAGGGGGAGAGGTAAAGAACATTTCAACTGCTACAGGGGGATGGAGGAAACACCTTCAAACCATTATTTTAAAGCAGCTTGACTTCATGCTTGGTCACAATTAACTACACTGGATGGAAAGACAGCGCAGCTCGGCAAGAGACTGCAAAGAAACTGAGACAAGATGCAAGTGGTAACACATCTTGCTGTTAATGCTTTATGTGCTCTTGGAAAATCTTGGTGAGGGCAGAGAAAGCAACCAAGTAAGAAAGATTCAAGTATGCAGTTAACTGCATTCACAATACCATTGGGTTCCTATTTGTACTAGTCATTTAAAGCCATGGAACAGGAGTAACTACTTAGTGTCTAACCAGTATCTGTTGTGTTCTATTATCTCTGCACATTTATAGTCAACTTTTCTTTGCATTGGGAAGGGGGACAGAGTAACTGGAGCTGGTGTAACTCGCCTCCGCATCTCACAGGCACTAGAGCAAGGGAAATGATGTGGGCAAGGAAGACTGTCTCTTCTGCAGGTGCAGTCTCCACAGGACAGCATCTTCAAGTTGTATCTTGTTTTCCTATGGATTCAAGAGATAATACCAGCAATGCTACTTTCTTGTAACTGATTGGTGTAAGCATAATAAAAATCTAAGCAGTACTTGTACCTATGAGTTTTATAATGGGTTGGAGTTGAGCATTACAGCTCTGCCTTGGGCTCTGTGTGATCTCTGCTCCTGTGTATGGATGCTATGTAGCTCAAAGCAGTGGATAACCCTGTGGATAACATACACTTGAAAGTAAAGAGAGTTAGGTATTAATGCTTTTTCTGTACCGAAGAATAACTAAATTCCTTGTCTGTGCCAAGTGCGTAAGCTCACTTTTACCTCAGCATGAAGATCACATTGAGCTGCTGCACTCCCTTTGGAGTGCAGGTGATTTTGACTCAAGTGAAACAAGCAAGTAGCTTACTTAAGTAAAAACTGCATTTTATTTTATCTAAAACCACTTGGAATGGGGGAATGAAGTCTGAATATGAACAGGTGCCTTTTCTGTCCTTTGCTTAACTCTGAGGATAACTTGTTCACACAAGTACAGAACAGAGGTGAGCAGTAACAAGTTACGTTCAGTCTGTCTCTGTGCCATCATCATCTTCATTTCCACTTAGACGCTGCTCTTCTGTAAGGGAACAGCTCAACAGGGACTTCTGTACACACTGTCTTTCCTCTGCAATAAAGACAGCAATGCAGGCTCAATACCCGATCTCTTCACATACACTGGAATATTCTCCACTTCTAAAGAAAGGAGTATTCCTTAGTTCAAGAATGCAGAAGTAGCCCAGCATATCCTATAAACACCCCAGGCACTGGGGCTGCAGGAACTCACCTTCATTTGTACAGCTTTGCAGCAACAGCAGTAGCTGTCTTCTGTTATACTCAATTAGGAATTTCTGGCACGTTCTTATGGTACCTGTAGGAGTCACAAGAACAATGTATAACAATCTACAAGCCCAAGCAGTTCAGAGCTGCTAGTATGTTTTCCAAAGCTTATTCCATCAAGTGACAGATATCCCCAGGCACCAACTTTATTAACGCCAGTGCTAAGAAGGGATATAGACTTCATTTCCTCACTGTTGAGGTTAAGTGGGAGAATAAGAACTTCTAACATATGGTGCCTGTTATTTGCTCTAAGTGGTTAATTTTCAGGACATGGACAATTCTATATTTTGAAAATACACCTTTTAAAAGAAAATAATGGTGTATTTGCTGCTCTGGTTTTGTGTTCAATGCAATGAAGACTCGAGGAGAGTTAGTGAGGGTTTCACCGAAATACTGCTGCTTGTTCCTTCCTTAGATCTGCTGGAAGTTAGGGTTGCGGGTGATGTACCCATGGCACCATAGCAGGTAGAGGGGCTTCTCCCACGCTAGAATGCCTGGAAGGGCTCCCTGCAGGGACCAGACCCTGCAGCCGGTCCCGGGGCGGCTGAGGCTGACCTCCGACGTGCAGCGTGTTGAGGAAGCAGGGGTAGCGCTGGTTGCGGCTCTCCAGCTGCCTCACGAAGGGGAGCGCGGAGCAGAGCAGCCGGTACGAGTCCTTGCGGCAGCGCAGCAGCACGGTCCCGGTGTACGCGTTCAGGTACTTCACTGCGGGGCACACACGCGGCCGTGAGCCCGGACCCCCGCTCTCCCCAGAGGAGCCGCCTCCCGCCCCGGGCGCCCCGCGGCACCTGTGAAGGAGATGGAGCAGCAGGCCAGCCCGAAGTCCCCGTGCACCCTGCTGATGGCGTCCCTCACGGCGAGGCCCACGGCGCGGTCCTCGATGCACTGCCGACACTGCGGGTCCTCCGACACCACCTCGCACAGCACGTACCTGCAGCGGAGCGCGGCGTCAGCGGCACGGCACGGCCGGGTCCGGCCCGCAGGGCCGCCTCCGAACTCACCTGTTCTTGAACCGAACCATGGCGGCGCCGGCGCCTGATGCGCACGGACGCTGCTCCAGCCAATGGGCGAGGCGCTCTCCCTCTCACTTCAGCCAATCGCCGTCGTGTAAAGGCGGGGACAGAGGGAGGACTTCCTAGGCTCCCCTTCCTCCATGGGCCGGCGGTAGAGCGTGCGCATGCGCGCTGTTCCACTCCCCCACCTCCCCGCCCCCCACCTTCCGCCGCGGGCCGCCGGCCGCTCTGTGGGGGCGGTGCGTGCAGCGACCCTGCCGCCTTCCCTCGCCCTCCGCGCGGGGGCGCTCGCGGCCTGCGCCTGAGGAGGCTCCCGCGGTCCGATGGGGCCCACGGTCCGATGGGCTCGGGGGGAGCCGGTGAGCTCCTCTCGCTGTGGAGCTTCAGCCCGCCTCGGCCAAGCCCCGCTTTGCCTAGTGCCAGAGAGCCGGCGGGAGGCAGACGGGACGTCCCGCCCTCGCACCGCTGCTTCGGAGCGGCACCTGCCTGCTGCGGGAGGTGAGGGCTTGAGGAGAGCGTCCCGAGCCAGCCCCGTGCTCCGCCTTCGCTACCTGGCCAAACTGCTCTCCAGTGTCCATAGCTCCTCAGGCTCCAGGTACGGGGTGCCTCGGGGTATGTACGGACTGTCTAACAAATGGGAACAGCTGAGAGCGTTGCGGAACAGAGCTCCTTACAGCAGTGGATTTCAAAACTGCGATCTCTGACATGGTCGGAGGAAGCAGGGAGTGCTCTTTGAAAGAAGAAACGAGGGAGAGGGAATGGGAGTAAGGAAAAGGTAGGAGATGGGCACCTGGATGTGAGATGGGAGAGAGAACCAGTTAGGGGCGGCACAGGAGGAATGCTTCCACCGAGTTCCCTTGAGCCAAACCACACTGGAGTGCTGAGGCACTATACTTCAATTGAATTGAATTGAAAGTGGGGACTCATTGCTAATTCAGAGTGGAAACATCTCCTGTAATGACCCTAACTCTAGACAACGAGAGCGGTGATAAACCCAGTGGAAATCCTGTCCTGGGTGATAAACTCCTGCCCTCTGAAATAGAAGCCTGTTCCACTGCTCTCTTTCTCTATTATCTCCTCTCTGCCACCTGTGATCCCATTTTTGAGGTACATTTTTCTGAGAACTGCAGAATATGAGTTGCCTGGGGATAACATAAAAAGGACAACATAAAAAGGACATGGAACTGTTGGAACAAGTCCAGAGGAGGGCCACGAGGATGAGCAGGCGACTGGAGCATCTCCCGTATGGAGATAGGCTGAGAAAGTTGGGCCTGTTCAGCCTGGAGAAGAGAAGGCTGCGTGGAGACCTCAGAGCAGCCTTCCAGTATCTGAAGGGGGCCTATAGGGATGCTGGGGAGGGACTCTTCATTAGGGACTGTAGTGATAGGACAAGGGGTAATGGGTTAAAACTGAAACAGGGGAAGTTTAGATTGGATCTAAGAAAGAAATTCTTTAAGGGTGGTGAGGCACTGGAATGGGTTGTCCAGGGAAGCTGTGAATGCTCCATCCCTGGCAGTATTCAAGCCAGGCTGGACAGAGCCTTGGGTGAGATGGTTTAGTGTGAGGTGTCCCTGCCCATGGCAGTGGGGCTGGAACTGGATGATCTTAAGGTCCTTTCCAACCCTAACTATTCTCTGATTGTATGATAAAACACATCAAACCTGGTATGAGCTTTGCAAGAGACTTTTTCACGTGGGCCATGAAGGGAGGGACTGGGGGAAGTTTGTTGGCTTCTG